GTGAGTGTGAGTGTGTGTGTGTGTGCGAGAGAGAGTGTGAGTGTGTGTGTGTGTGTGTGTGTGTGTGTGTGCGCGAGAGCGAGTGTGCGTGAATGAGAGAGTGTGTGCGTGTGTGTGTGTGTGTGCTGTGTGTGTGTGTGAATCTCTCTATCTAAATATATCTGTATATATTTTTATCGCAATATCTCTCTCTATCACACAATATTCTCTCTCTCTACACATCAATATATATATATATATATATATATATATCTATATATATATATATATATATATATATATATATATATATATATATATATATATATATATATATATATATATATATATATATATATATATATATATATATATATATATATATATATATATATATATATATATATATATATATATATATATATATATATATATATATATATATATATATATATATATATATATATATATTAATTTCTTAATTAAGTGTGTTTAAAAATATTTAATTAGTTTCTTTTTATAAACATATATATGAAGTCTATTTACTATAAATATTAAACCTTGCTAAGAAAGTGAGCCCCTGTAATTTTCTAGTACAACATCGTTTTCCAATGTTAATTTACAATTTTTATAATATATTCAATTTCATCCTTGAATAAATTCTTAGATTTGTCACTAGATAGGGTCTCTCATTTTAACTTGTTCTTCAAATTTCACGCAAGACCTCAGAATTTTCAGGAATGACCCTGACTTTAAGAAATAGACAAACATAATTACAAAATGAATATTCAACTTTTTTGTCTTCCAAATAAATCCAGTTCATTTAAACTTATTTGTAAATAAGGAAAATACTTTTATATATATTAAAATTATCTCCAATTCCTTGAAACTCTAATTCAACTCCAATTTCATGATTTACACCATAATTTATCCCAATTCACCAATTAACCAATTTTGACCCCTATTCCAATTTTGACCCGCCACCGCCGGAGACCACCTGTCTGCCGCCGTTGACTTTTTTTTTTTTTTTTTTTAACTTGTTTTTTCTTAAAAAAAAAATATTTTAATTAATATTACTGTCTTGGCTGCTAAATTACTGTCTCCAACAGTAATTTAACTGTCGGAGACATTAATTTTACTGTATTAATTAATTTTATCATCTTGCCCTGCAATTTTGCTGTCTTCGACTGTAATATTACTGTCTCCGACCGTAATATTACTGTCTCATGCAATAATATTACTGTTTGTGACAATAATATTAGTAATATTACTGTTCGGGAAAGTAATATTCATAATATTACTCTCGGGATAGTACTATTAGTGTTCGGGACAGTAATGTTACTGCTTGGGACAGTGATATTAGTAATATTACTATTTTGGTATTCAATATTACTATCTCAGACAATGATTTTGTTGTTAACACAGTAATTTAGAGAGGAAAAAAAATTCAGAAAAAAGAAAAAAAAATCAACGCCGAAGAACTGTCCGGTCGATGCCGGAATCTGGACCGAAAAAAAAATTGCAGAAAAAAAATTATGAAAATAGGGGTTAATGTGATATATTGGTTCAAATTGGGGTTAATGTATAATATTGAGGAAATTAGAGTATAATGGATGGAACTGATAAAAATTATATTATGAATGATATTTTAGACAAAATATATGAGATGAGTTTATTTGCAAGATTGTTTTTTTTTGTCTTAATCTATGTTCATTTAAGTATCTTGTTATGCGCATATTTGCTATTCGCCCGTAAGAAATTGGGAAAAATAATGATATACGCAATAACACTGCAAATTTCAATTTAACCAGCTCAATAATTTAGTGCTACTTGCACATGGATATGATCATACTTATTTAGTAATACTTTTTGGACTAGTTCTACTTAAGTCGTCTTCATTAATACATGCACAATTAAGTATTTGAGACCCTACTTAAATATTTTTATTCAATAATATTGAAAGTTATATATATATATATATATATATATATATATTTTTTATATAAAAACAATTTTTTTTCTTGGGTACGCTTAACAACCCAAAAAATTGGTTTATTTCGATCAAACAACCTTGTCTTCAATGTATAAATTATACCAAAAAAACACAAATTCACAAGATATAATATGCACCGTAAATTACGGTCATTAAGATGCTACACTCAATGAAATACACTATTTCCTACTAAGCGCACACATACACGGATTGTATGCGATTATGTGCAGATTTACAACTGATAATCATCCGATGTATTCCATTAGCTCTAACATTAAAATAAACCATAGATGATCTCGTCGTGCGCGTTTATTACGCCACTTGACCATATGCTAATTTGGGGTTGTGTAAGCCTTAAAACCAATGAGGGAATAACAAATCTTTGCTGTAAAATACAAATGTAACCCTAATAAACACAAAAAGACAAAAAAAAAAAAAAAAAAATCAAAACAAAACGTGTTTTAGTGCTAACCATAATAAAAACAAATTATTAGGTAATATTTTCTTATTTAAAAAAAAGAAATTCAACGAGAAGTTTGGAGGTTCGAAGCAACACCCATCCATCATGCACATCATCAACGGTGCTTAATCGGTGCCCATCTCTCCTATTTTGACACGCAATTAATTCCCCTAATTTTTTTCTACATCTTTCCCTTTCTCTCTCACACACACACTTCTCTCACACACTAGCAAAAAGCCCACGTAGTTTAGGCATCCAAGCAAAGCAAACCTAAAAAACCCGAATACCTAACCTAAAAGCAAACCCAACCCAAATAGTAAAGCAAAAGTCTCTCTTGTTTTTCATTCCTCAAAGCAACCCCCACCAAAATTCCAAGCTTTTCTTGCTTAAACACACACACACACACACACAACACACACACATAAATTTCCACAAAACTTGGAGGAAGGAATATTATTACAAGTGAAGATTTGGTCTGAACAAAAAAAAATGGGAACTCTGGCGGCGGCTGCTTCAGTGCTCCCACCACAGATGATGAAACAAGCAGCTTCGTTTGCGGAGAACAGAACAAGAAAGAATCACTCCATAGTCCCTGTAAATTCTTGTTTTTTTTTTTCTCTCTCTCTCTCTCTAGAAATTTCTCTCTCTCTCTAGAAATTAATTAAGATAAAATAAAATAATAGGTGGCGAGGCTGTTTGGGCCGGCTATATTTGAGGCATCAAAGCTGAAGGTACTGTTTTTGGGAGTGGATGAAAAGAAGCATCCGGGGAAGCTTCCAAGAACTTACACACTTACACACAGTGACATCACCTCTAAGATCACTCTTGCCATCTCTCAGACCATTAACAATTCCCAGGTTTTTTTTTTCTTTTTTTTTTCTTTTTTGGGATTTTAATTTGGTTAATTAATCATGATTTAATATCTGCAAGATTATTTAATCAAGAAACAGGGGAAAACAGGGGATTACTATTTGCGGTAATTAAGGATCATGATCCTAGCTGTCAACCTATAGATACTTCCAGAATAAGAAGAAGAATACAAGTGTACCACTTGGGAGTGTTTTATTCATAACACTATTTGCTAAACATTTTTTACATTATTTTCTCGGCAAATTACGGCCGCCTTTAAGGTAAGGTGAAATTATAAAAAAAAAAAACCCTTATGTTTGGGTAATTACAGCCACCCTCACCCTCCCTTGAACTATGTATTGTTCGTCTTACTCGTCCATCCTTACGGTGTCAAATTTACATACTGAATGACAGGTTTTTTCCTTGCGGTGTCAAATTTACATACTGAATGACAGGTTTTTTTCTTAAAAAAAATATATGGTTTAGAGGTAGTTGTAATTACCCAAACAATATGGATTTTTTTTTTTGTAATTTGATCTTAAGTCAGGGGTGGCCGTAATTTATCCTTCAATTTTTTTTCTTCAAAATATAGTTTTATTTTAGTGAAAAAATAAACTCCTTTGTTTTATAATCATACAACAACCAGTCAAAAAGTCTTATAAAAAATATCATGAAATGCCTAAATTACCCCTATATAAAAGAAAAGGGCTTAATTGCAAATTGTCTTACAATTATCGGTTTAAGGTATGCTTGAATTACGAAAACTTTCCTTTAAAACTAGATGAACATTCAAATCTTTTTTTTTCCTTCTTGATTATAAAAAATGAAAACGAATGCTGTTATCTTTTTTTGCATATATTTTTTTTAAATGAACTATTCATTTTTTTTATAAACCATCCTACTGTTTTCGTTTTCTGAAGATCAATAGTTTTTCTTCTTCCCTTTCGTACAAATTGCAAAAGTACTCAACTCAACGGTCGCGTTGAATAGTACAATATCGATCTCGACCCTACGTTGGATATAAAATCAAACAATGACCGTTGTTGAGTAGCAATGTAAATGTTCTTCTTATAATTATATAATGCACCCTTTATTTTGTTTTAGAATTAGATTAAACTTTGGAGATTGTAATAGTATAATGTATACCCTTTATTTTGTTTTTAGCATATACCTAATAAATAAATAAATAAAAAGCTAATATAGAATGGTGTAATATGCAGTTGCAAGGATGGTACAATAGACTACAAAGAGATGAAGTGGTGGCAGAGTGGAAAAAAATAAAAGGGAAAATGTCACTTCATGTACATTGTCACATTAGTGGTGGTCATTTCCTTTTGGACCTTGTTGCTAGGCTCAGATACTACATCTTCTGCAAAGAACTTCCTGTGGTAAGTTCCCTTTATTCACTTCTCCTATTTTTTTTATTTTTATTTTTTCGAATTTTCATAATATAATCATGGTGTATATATATGTATATATATGAATTACGAAACTATATTTTGATATCCGATACATGTACTGATCTACATAAACAAATATGAAATACCTCCATATTATTATTGGAGATATTAATATTAAATGATATATTTCACTAATAGCCTCCAGCTATTGGCTGATGGTCATTCAACATTGTATCAGATCATGAGTTCGAATATCACCGCCACCCATTTTTAATAATTTAAGTGCAAATGTAATTCGTCTGCACTTGAGGGGCGTACTGGAGATATTAATATTAAATAATACATATATTCAGTATCTGAAATATTCAAGTACTTTTTTTTTTTTAATTATTGAGTTGAGTTAGTTCATGCATTAATAATATCAATAGCATCCCGAATAATTGAGTTCCTTTTTTTTTCTTTTTTTTTTTCTTCTTTTTAAATTATTGAGTTACTCTATGCATTAATAATATCAATAGCATAGCATCCCTCATAAGTCATAACTAAATATCAACTCATTTACTTTCAATTATTGTTACCTATAATTTGGTTTGATAAAGTTTGAAAGAAAAAAAAAACATGATCAGGTTTTGAAGGCATTTGTGCATGGAGATGAGAATCTTCTGAACAATTACCCCGACCTACAAGAGGCATCGGTATGGGTTTATTTCCACTCCAACATCCCGGAATTCAACAAGGTCGAGTGCTGGGGCCCACTGAAGGATGCCACAGCCTCCTTCGACAGGGCCGCCGGCGGGGCCCACATTGAGAATAAATCAGGTACTCCGCAGCCTTGCCAAGAAAGCTGCACCTGCTGTTTTCCACCAATGAGCTCCGTTCCTATTTGGCCTCAAAATATCGCGACGAATGAGGTTGACGCCACGAAAGGGCTTGATCAGCAGAATTTGGCCTCGGGTGAATCTTCGTCGTGGAATTAATTTTATTTGGAGATTTTATTTTTACCAAATATTGAAGATATTAGTGTTTTTATTTGAAATTTGAAAAAAAAAAAAAAAACGTGTAAATATTAAGCTAGCTAGTTTCTAGGCGTATTTATTATTGGTTTGTGTTTTTATTTGTTTGTCAGTGGAGCCGACAAGTGAAGAAAAAGAAATTTCATGTCACATGTTTATAAGAATTTGAAGGAGGACCTTATATTGTGTAGTACTACTATTTTTGATGTAATGTATGTTGTCATTTATCCAATGTTTAGGGTCAATTATTTTATTTATTTTTTAAATATTGTCAAGATAAGAAAAGAAAAATAACAAAAAATAGTAGTTTCATATCGTTTTTGAGTGTTTGTAGAAGCTTTTTGTTTCTGAGTGTTTGTAGAAGCTTTTTAAAAAACATAAGTTAGTGATTATGAGTTAAAAAAGTATAAAGTAGTTATGAAAATTAACTGAAATAATAAAAGTAGGGTCCTAGGAACTTATCAAATAATAGTCTAGACCAGCTTATTTTAGGATAAGCAAAAGTAAAAGATGTTGTTGCTAATAATCATAAACTAATTATGAACCAAAAAAGTAAAAGATGATTTTGCTAATAATTATAAACTAATCATGAAACAAAAAAAATTTCAGAAGTTATTTCTAAATGCGTTTGCAAACACCGCCTTAAGTGGGAACAAATGGCCCCAGTTTACGCTATAGTTATCTAATAATTGCTAGTAATTTATTGGGTAAATTCCACTTTCCCCCTTGTACTTTGGCTCAGTATTATTTTACCTCCTTTCTACTCTCGATTGCATCGATTTGTCCCCTGCACTTGAAAAATTGTCTCAATGTGGCCCTCGCTGTTAGTTGTCAGACATTTGACCTTAACAATGTTTGATCTGAAATTACAAAAACGACACCTCTCCAAGTTGAAATAATTAATAAAAAAACAAAAAAAAATAATAATAATAATTATAAATTCAAGACAACGAAAAAACATAGTCAACGACGCCAACCACAATTTATTTTTTATTTTTTTATTTTTTTTATAACTATTTAAACTGAGAGTGGTGGCTTTTTTGTAATTTTCAAACTTAAATCAAACTGTGCAAATGCCAAAGGTTTGAAAATTAACGGCGAGGGCCACATTAAGATAATTTTTCAAGTATAGGTGGGCTAATCGATGCAATCGAGAGTAGAAGAGGATAAAGTGATATCGAACCAAAGTACGAAGGGGTAAGTGAATTTACCCTAATTTAATATGTGGAATGCACCGACCCTCATCATGAGAGTTGATATCTAGTCACCACTACTAAAAAGCAGGATCTAGGGTTCAAACCTACAGCCTCCTTACTTTCCTACTTTTTAACAAGATTTGATTTTAAAAATTGAATTTGATTGTTAATTTACACAACTTTTTAATATCTTTGGAACTTTTGTTATCAAACACAATTTTATAGGCATGTATCCTAATACAATTTTGTCAAGAAGGGAGGACTAGTTTTATTATCCATGTAACTTTTAACAAGAAATATGTATATTTTATGCAAAAGCTATATATGCTCCCTAAACATTGCAAATTTCTAATAAATTCCCATTGCAAACCCATAACCAAAAAATATGTATGCTTTATACATGAGCTATTTATGAATATGATAATGGAGGTTTACCCGTGTATATAGTTATCTGCAGATTTCTTTGTTATTCAAGAAAGATAATGAAATTTGAATGACTAATTATAGATTTTCCCCACCAAAATAGTAGTTAGGTTTAGGAAGGTTTGGCTCACATGCTTCTTAGTGTATGGCTACAATAGTTTTGTCTTCCGGCCACAAATACAAAATTATGGCTCCGCCACATCTCAGATTTGTCAAATTTGGTACGAAATGTTTGGCGATTGGTCTTATTTTTCATCTCCATTATTAATTCAACGTGACAAAAGAAAACAAAATCTATTGTTTATTTTATGGTCGATAATAGGCCCCCATAATAATTTGTAGATCCCATTCTAACTCGTGGGAAACATGAGAAAGCAATTTTCTTTAAATTATATTGTTAATTATTTAGGGTAGATTACATTGTGTCGGTCGCACACTTGCAACCAGTTTACTTATTTATCAATTATACCCTTCGACTATACTTCAGAAAAAGAAAAAAAAAAAAATAAACAAGTCCTGCAAGGGATAGTCTAGCGGTTGGAGCAAGTGAGCCTGTGTCAATTGACACATGATCGAATTCCCCTGTCAACGGTCGCTTGGTGGAACTTGTCACACATGGTTAGTCTAGCGTGGTTTACATCTTTCGAATTGTTTTTTTCGAAACAACTGAAGGGAAAAAATAACAGTCCGTCATTCGCCTCTGCCGTCGAAAGTGACAATTTCACAAACGAGAGGGGAAAAAAAAAAGCAAACGAACCAGTGATGGGGATTCGTTTGGCTTGGCCCAAAACAACTGAAATGGACTTCATTACGAGGGGCACAAAGAAAGGAACCCAACAAGGCCTGCTCGCCTAAGCCAGCCGAGCAAGCCCTACAAGATGATTCGGCCCAAATAAACCAAGACCTTGCACGAGCTGGACCTTACGGCAAGAGGCCGAAGCCTGGAGCCCAACATGACTCGCTCCCCATAGTCCATAGAGTAACCCATCCAAGGCCCACAAGACATGAGACCGAAAGGGTTAGGTGGCGACCTAGTTAGCTGGTCGTTGGAAAACCGTGATGAGCACGCTTTACCATAAACAGGATGCCTGCTAATATGTGAAGAGTATCAATTAGTAGATGATAGATGATTGTTGGGGCTAGATATCTAACACGCAAGTGCACGTATCGCAAACAAGTAGTAAAAGTGGACTCGTGAGAGTCGGATGTCGATCCCACTAGGAATACTCAAATTATCTAATCCTAAGTACCAAACTCTAACAATTATGATTTTTATCCAGCCTACGCAAAGTTGTCAAATCTAATTAATTATGAAAGCAATAAAACACGAGAAAATATCAATAAAAACGGACCTAGGATTTTATCTTCCCCTATGCAAGAATTGCTTACCCAAAACCCCTCAATTATGAAATATAAGATTCATGATTATTAACCCGAGACACTAATTTACTCATAACCCGCTGTCGCGTGTATTATGAGTCTATTATTCATAAACGGTTCACTATATGTCTATGCAAACAAATTATGAATAAAGCATTAACTAACAAGTCTCGTAAATGGCTACCTAAGGTGATATATGTATGTCTACGACACCACATGCAATTGACACACTCATCCGGTGAAAACTACTCGAAGGTTCTTATACTTACCGTCTAATTATCAAAATAGCTCTGTCGAGTCAATCCCAATAATCACAGATAAAGCACATAAATTGATCAAGTTCATGCACTAACAATCATAACAAGTATAAGAAATAATCATAAAATCATAATTGCATAATCTCAAGAAAACGGGTTCAACATCCCCACATAGGGTTCCAACAAAATCCTAGATTAAAAGCTTAGCTACTCGTAATTCTTATGATAAACAAAATAGAATAAATAAAATAAATAAGAAAAACTATGCTTGAGTCTTCGTTGATCTTCGTTCTTCGCGTTTTGGGGTATAAAATTTCGTGCTTATGGTGTAGAGACTTATTGCTTTTATAGGCTTTTCTTGATAAGGAAGTAGTGGAAACCTAATAGGAATCAATTTCCGCCACTTTCCCCCATCAGGAATTGTTCGTCGATTTGTGCCATGTTGGAGTCCGAATTTTGGAATGTTGTGTCAATAAGAATTGTATCCCTTGAAATTAGCTTTCCAATGCCGCCAAAATCACCTAATTCGGAGTTTGTATGCGAGAGATATGCTCGAAATGGTGGACACTCTCAAAGCTGTGGCGAGATTCCTTCTTCCAATTTGATTTGTTTCCTTATTTGCAACTTTTTCCTTTCTTTTTGATCTTTTTTCCTTCGTGGACACCTAATTCTCTTTTTTCACCTGTAAAACACAAAATCAATAAATTAAAGAACAAATATAATTAAATTTAAACAAAAGATTCACGTAAAGTAAACGTATTGAGTGTAATATCTACACTTAACAAGGATCTTAATTGATACCCATCGGAGGGATTTTCCTCTTAAATATAATGCATATAAAAAAACGCTAGGTGGGTTACGTTTGGAATATCAATAAAGAATACTTTTATACTCTCTTCTAAACTTTCTCTCGTATTTATTAATTCCGTTTGTCGTCTAACCGCCGTCGGTAAAAGATCCGACATCCGGTGCACTTTCCAACGGTCTAAAAAAAGTAGGATTTGGAGCAAGGTCTTGAGAATGTAGATTCTACACTATCAACAAAAACAAAAATCTTTTTACCGAATTTTTAAAGAGTTCTTAGTACCGGTACTGTACAAACATATGTAGTAATTTGTCTAATAGTTCTCTGTAGCAATTTTCGCAACCATTTTCCATACCGATCGATTTCTTTTCTTTCACAATCTATTTATGCAAAAGCTATATGTGTTCCCCCAAACATTGCAAATTTCTAATAAATTCTCCTTGCCAACCGTTTAACCAATATATATATATATATATATATATATATATATATATATATATATATATATATATATATATATATATATATATATATATTTTGCATAAAATATTTACCAGGATTGAGGTTTTGACCTATGGTTGTCTCCAAATGAGCAATTAAATGCTACACATGATTATTTATATTGGGTGGACTTGAATCATAAATCTACACATAATCATACACACACTCATATGTATGTGTACTTAGTGAGTTGTTATTTAATCAAATATATGCTTCAAACCAGTGTAAATAACCAGGTGTAACATCTAACACCTGGTTTGCAAATTAGTTTGTTATTAAAAAGAAGGGTAAATTACACCCACACCCCTGAGGTATGCTTAAATAACTTTAAGGTTCCTGTGGTATCGATAATTACACTCACCCCCTTGAAACGTAGTTAAAAACTCTAATGGAATATGCATTGGATACGTTATTACGGTAGAGTTCTAACGGACTATTGGTTTCAGGAAGTGGTGGAGACAACAAAGAGTTATGGGTGATTTAAGAAATATTGGGGGAGCCATGTCACCACATAACTCTTCATAACTCTATGTTATCTCCACCACTAGCTAAAAATAATAGTCCATTAGAACCCTATCGGAATAATGTATCCGATGCATTATCACGTTATAGTTTCTAACTACGTTTCAGGGGGTAAGTGTAATTATCGATACCATAGGGACCTTAAAATTATTTAAGCATACCTCAGAGGTGTGGGTGTAATTTACCCTAAAAAGAATATAAGGAAAACTTTAATGATTGGTTATAAATTTTGCCCAACAAGATTGTGATTAGGACTTAGGAGGGTTTGCCCACGTGTTTCTTAGTGTATGTATGGCCACAATTTTTTTGTTTTCACTCACAAATACAAAAGTGTGACTCCGCCAAATTTGAGATTGGTCTAATTTGGTATTAGATTTTTGGCAATTTGTCTAACTTTTCTTCTCAATTAATAAAATAAAATGTACTTTGTATATTCTATGGTCGATATTAGACCCCATAAAAATCTTTAGATCCCACTCCAACTCGTGGGAAACAGGAGAAATCAATTTTATGTCGGTCGCAATTAGAAAAAATATTATAGTTTTCATCCCTTGAGTTTGCACAAACTTTACATTTGGTTACTTATGTTCGCAAAAAAATACAATTGATCCATTCTATTTTAATAATTTAACATTTTTGGTCATTTCCGTCTATTTACCGTTAGTTGGTCAGTGAATGCACTGATGGTGGGCACACGATCGGCTCCGTTAGTATTAACGAAAAGTTGACAGATATGACTAAAATTGTTTAACTATTGAAACACGATGGGCCAAATGTGAAATAAGTACAAACTTGAGGGATGAAAACTATATTTTTCCCGTCGCAATCATGTACATTCAGTAAAATGTGCAATCACAGATAAAACATAGAAGAAATAAAATAAATGTCTATGAGTGCTCATTTTCTTGAATGTAACGTGATTACGAGTCTCAACAGGAAAAATATAGTTTTCATCCCTCAAGTTTGCACCAATTTCACATTTGGTCCCTCATATTTCAATAGTTCAACCATTTTAGTCATATCCAAAGTGGTTGGAACTTGGAACAAGATCTTTCTTAATTCTTCTGAATCGAGCATGACATTTACCATTCACCATATATTAAACAAAAAAAATAAACATCGAGCACGAAAGTGTGTAGATAAATAGTAAATCTTTTATCCGGTGTGAATAGCAATTATTTACAATATATATAAGTAGCCGGATGTTACTTATACTAATTTCCCTCTATTTTGCTACCTTAGAACATCAGTAACAGATATTTACCGATTTACACGATTGCGAGAAACAACCGACTCAATCTTTGTGGCCTTCTCTGCAAATTTAAAAAAAAATTCAAGGCCCTTACTTGCAATTAATCTGTATTGCCTTTCTATGACGGATTAATAATAGTAGGATCAACGAATCTGAGTTCTTCCAAGAGACGATGCTCCGATTTCACTTTCAGTGTTCTGCACAATAGATGTTTTTCAATTAGTAGAAATCACCACCTATGCAATAAAATTGAGCTTCTTTTTTTTTTTTTTTTTTTTAATAATGTATGGCAAGAATCGAAGGAATTCAAAAAATAGCAATATTTTCTGAAAAAAGCAATAGAAAAATGTGAAATCGGAGTTCTGACCTGAGATTTGGGTGAAGGAAAAACATTCCAGAACCTAAGTGTCTCGTCTCCAGCTCCTGTTACAATGGTCTGCGAAAAACATATACGGTAAGAAAACGAGCTGAAATAATACAAAAACGAAGTTCGTTAAAAATTAAGAAAAAATAAATTGCTGGCTTCTTTTATATATATACACATATATATAAAAATATACATATATACCTGTCCATCTGGTGAAATGGCAAGGTACAAGACTCTGTATGTATGGCCTGTTAGAGTAGCCAACTGTATTGGCAGTTCGAAAAACAATTCAAATTATTAGATAAATAAATATGAACTTCTGAAAAAAAAAATCGTTATTTATTTATTTTTATTTTTTTAATATTTGATGTCATGATTGTTTGAGGTACCTTAGACATTGTCGGATATCTCCACACTATAATTTGGTTCTGGGAGTAGCCATGTGTGCTCACTAGTTCATTCACATTCTTCGACCAAACAAGATTGCACACCTGTCATAAGTATATATATTAAAATTTAAGTCAGTGCCTAATTATTTAAATTAATCATGGCTTAACTTACAAACCAAACGAGGCGTAACAGAAGAGCAACGGTTATGTTATTACCTGACTTCCAGTATCCATGCAACTGAGGTGTGAATTTGTAGTGGTGTTCCAAAAACGAATGCATCGGTCAGCAGTGCCGCCTCCGGAAGCAAGGAGTCCGTGCAGATGCGGTGACCATGCAATTGCTTTTACAGCCGCAGTGTGTTCACAGTATTTTAGCACCGGCTGCGTCGAATGTTGGTTCCACACAAAAAGCTATAAACGAAAAAAATAAATAAACAAATAAATAAATACCATACCAAATCAAATTACTGTCGAAAGAAACAATGAATCTTGAAAAATAGCTACTCACTTTGTTGTCATTACCACCGGATGCTAACTCTCGGTTGTCGTACGACCACTTCAATCCGCAAACCTTAAATCACACAAGTAATTGAGATTCAGACAAAAATAAATAAATAAAAAATAATAGTTAATTTGTGACATTGAAGGGGCATGCATACCTCTGATTTGTGTCCAGTTAATTTGCTGACATAATCATCTGGAGTTCGTAAATCTCGTTGAAGAATAGTCTTGTCCCGGCTTCCGGAAGATAATAAAGACGAACTCCATGCGAGGGAACCAACTCTCAGCCTATGTCCCTCCAAAGTTTTAACTCTCTTGCATCGAGCGGCATCCCATAACTGCATTGTCATATACAAGATTCATAAATTTCAGATTCAAGAATTACTACAAACTGAACTCAGAGCATCGTGTTTTTTTTTAGTATGTTTGACTAGGCATGAAACCTTTAGCCGAAACTTGTATATAAGATCCCATTACGATACCCCGACAAATTGAAACACGAGAATATAAAAAAAATGGAAACAAATGAAAAATCATTAACACGTGTCATTCATTGGAGTCGGGGTAACGTAATAAAATTTCGACACTGTGCCATTAATGAATAAGGTGCTCCATAGCTCAAAATTGAACACGTGAATTAGATTATAGCAAGACGATAGCCACGGGTTAAAAAAAAATAATGGGTGTGCCGCAAAGTCGTATATTAAATATAGAGTCTAGTTAAACATTGAATTTATTAACACTTAAAGGTCGATAAGAGACGAAGAAAAATAATCGACGACATACTTGGACTTTGCCGTTGCTAGTTCCGACAGCCAGATTTGTACCGTGTTGTGCCCAGCCAACAGAGCAGACACTGTCATCGAATCCTAAATCGCACAATTTCACCACCTGCATTAAACATTAATTTCATCATTTTCCGATTGGCACAATGGTGATGGGAAAATTTAAAAAAAAAAGATTGAAAAGAATGTCGAAATTGACCTTGCTGCTCGAAGCATGCCACAGATATACACAGGTGCCGAGCCCCACTGCCAGCACGTTATTCGAAGACCAGTCGACGAGGTTTAGATAAAAGTCATCTTGCAATGCCGGTGCATCCAAAACCTATGTCAAATGTTAAATTAGTTTGAATAGTTCAAAAAACAAGAAACATTTGATTTCGCAGAAAGTTTCCCATAAAAAAAATCGGAAAAAAGAATTAATTGATGATAGCCAGAATCTCTGGATCGACATCCACAACTAAACCTGGAAATTAAAACATAACAGCAACAAACAAGAACATCGATTGCACAACATAAAACTGGCGAAACGAAGAATCGCAGCACCGTACGGAATAAACGACGATTATTTCAGTATAACCCACAATATATACATCTAACAAAAAATAAAAAATATAAAAGAAAAATAACAATCACTAACTTAGAAACCCTAAACCAATTCAGCCACAATTAATAAATTCACAAAGTCCAATGCAGAGAATTCAAAGCAACATAATTTAGAAAAAAAAAAAAAAGAATTTATAAACCCTCAATCATGAGAGAGAGAGAGAGAGAGAGAGAGAGAGAGAGAGAGAGAGACCTTGTAAGGAGACCTTGGAATTTTTCTGGGAGCTTTAACAGGGCTGTGGGATACGCCGGGGAGTGGATCATCATACCCAAACGGCGAAAGAGAATGCAAAGATTTCCTTGTTTCAGTCTTGTACTTGAATATATTGCAATTAGGAGGACTAATCAGCAAATTACTACCATCGCTATTCCGAGTGCCGAACCTCCCGCCGGAGGAGGACTTCTCTGGAGTCAACGGCTGAAACCCATTACCACCACCGACACATTCGGGCCCGAAAAGGGCGGACTTTAACAGATTAGTGTACGCAGAATGCGAATCGTCGGAAGATGCGCCGGGGTTGGAATTGGGCAGATTGAAGAGGGCAAAATTGGAAGAGGATCTGCTCGGGATGAATCGATCGCTGTAGATTGTGCGGGAGGAAGAGGGGCGGCGGTAGGATGAGCTGAGAAGCTTCGACACCGGCGTCGCCGGGTCTGTGGACGATGCGCTTGTGCTAGGGGTTGGGGTTTCCATGGCGGACACTTTTTCTCCGATAATCGCCGTTCGGCGGCGGCGGCCGCGGTGGTTGGAAGACGAGATGCGGCGGCGGATCGGGGTTAGTGTTTGTGGAGGGGATTGTATGTGATTCCCGGGAAATTAATCACAGGTAGGTAAATCTGTATATGCTGTGGGGTATTATATATATATATAATAATAAAATAATATAATATAATAAAATTACCTAAAATATGTGTATCGAATTGAGTAATATATGGGTCAACTCGGGAATATATGAGATTCTTTTTCAATTCTTTGGTAAAAATTACACTTGAGGAATTACTATTGAATTTTTGTAATTTATGTTTTATTGCTATAGGATTTTATAAAGTAAAATATAATAATTAGGAATTTAATATTATTTTATTGTATGTGTGGTTCTTGGATTTCTTTTTATAATTAACACCAAATTAGTTTAATTCTGAATTTATTGTATTTTGTGCACACTTGTATTTTTTTTAACGAAAAAACTTGTAACTAGCGATATAGGTGCATTGAGTAAACCTACATTCTCGTAAAAATGAAAATTTTGTTCCAATATACGATATTTTTAGATCAGAATCAATGAAATTAAACAATCCCATTATTTTATTCAAATGTAATATAAAATAAATAATAATATTTAAATTATTGATGTAATTTTCATAACAAAATATTTTTTTTTTCAAATTATGTTTAGATATTAAAATTGGATCGAAAATCGATCCCATAAAAATTACTAAATTTTAGCTTTATCAAGTAAATGAAAAAAAAAAAGGATCCAAATCACCCTAAATAGAAAACATTATTCCAATTTCTACCCTTAACTATCTTTGAGTTAATCTATTTAATCGAATGATGTTTGTTTTCCATGGAAATTTAACCTTTAAGTAAATAATGTAACTTGTTTTTATTAATTGTTTAGCAAATTTAATTTACAAGGGTTCTATTTTGAGAAAGAAAAATTTATTGTTATGGACACATTTCAAACATAGTACTTAAACTTAAAAAATCCTTGAGAATTTTCATGGTTAAAGTCAACCAAATAGTTCTTATCTGGTTATATAATCGATTTTCTATAAATAAATCATTAACTAATATTAATTGTTGGCTGAAATAAAAACTTGAGATTGGGTTCGGATAATCATGCAAACTTAACGGGACTAGTACAATTATAATTATAATCTACTTAAAAATTTAATAGTTTAGTAAGAGTGAAAATATTATTCAATGTATTTGACTTGACATTTTAACAAAATCAAGTCACATGTGAAATTTGACTTCAAATTTAACGAAATGAAACCTGGTGATAAATTTGTATAATCTTTGAATTTCAAAAGGTTGAAGTGTAATGAAATAGGGTGTTGCTATTTGCAGCGGGCCTTTTACTGAATGCAGCGGAATCTTTTTTATTTAATTTTTCTTTTTTTAAATTCTCTCTCCTACTCCCAAACTCTCTCAAGACATTTGAATTTCGGAAAAAAAATTAGACTTTGAATCCGTAGCAAAAGAGGTTCGATTCCGGTAAATTTTCAATATCCCACTACTTTTAATTAGTTTTATTTACAATTTAGGTAAAAACACATGTTTAGGATTAGATCTAGCCAATTTTCGAAAAACAATAAAAAAAAATTAAGCCACTGTTCTAAAGAGCACGAAAACTTGAAAAAAATAAAGTTTTCGTGCTCTGTAGAACGGAGGATTCAAGTTGTTTGAATTTCCCGTTCCGCGAGCACGGAAACTTGAAGTTTCTTCAAGTTTTCGTGCCGAAGAACGGGAAACTAAAAAAAAATTTGAATTTTTAATTTCGAAAAAAAAAATTAAAATATCAATCCCCCGTTCTGTAGAACACGGGAACTTGAACAATATTCATGTACCCGTGCTCTACAGAATAGAGGACTCAAAAACTTGAAGTTCCCGTTCTGCAGAACACGTGAACTTGAAGATTATTCAAGTTCCCGTGTTCTACAGAACGGGAACTTCAAGTTTTAATTTTTTTTAATATTTTTTTGTTTTAATTAATTAATTAATATGTTTATTTTTTTTACAGATGGCACGTCAAGACAAGGGAAAAGGGATTATGGGTGCTTCTTCGAGTTCGGTTAAAGTCCCGAAAATTAAATTTCGATATGGCGGGGAGGCAGGGAAGCCGGGGCGGAAGTCGAGCACATTCGTATCACTGTATTTCATCGGCGTAGGAGAGTTATTGAGCGGGTCGTGGCGCTGATGATTTACCCATCGTGGATGAGATACCCCACGTAGACCGGAGTTCGAGAGCTATGACGGGTAGCATTCGAGCTATTAATATATATTTTCTAATTAAATCTCTCAATTCTATAGGAGCGCATTGTTGGACGATGTGAGTCTAGGATTAACGCGCTAAATGCTTTTAAGAAGGATGATCTGAAGAAACTCATGGCTCTTTACGGGCAGGATGAGGTAGAGCTACTGGAGGCATCTGGACTGGACTCACTCGAGCACTTCTACATGAAAAATGTGGATAAGGGACTCATACATGCATTTATAGAGAGGTGGCAGTCAGAGACGAACAGTTTCCACATGCCTTGGGGTAAGACGACGATCAACCTGCATGATGTTGTGTTTATATTGGGGTTGCGTGTCGACGGTCTATCAATCTATGGTGATTTTCGGAGAGGCCTATGTGTGAGTTGTTGCTAGTAGAGGTTCTTGATTTGGACCTAGTCGACGCGCATGCCAAGCTCGGCAATAGTGGGATAAAATGATCGGAGTTTGTTGAGCATGTGTTCAATCGGTCCCGATCTTGTCGGCAGAAGGTGGTAGGGTTTTTGACGTTTCTGATCGGTATGGCTCTGTTCCCCAATCGGAGTATAGACAGGTTCAAGCCAACGTGGATGAGATATTCTTCCGATCTTGAGCACGTCAGCGAGTATACTTGAGGTGCAGCTGTCTTGGCTCATTTATACCGACAGTTAAGCTTGGCTAGTAAAGCCCACGTGAATGGGTTACATGGATGCACATTACTGCTCCAGGTATTTTAGTGTAACAAATTTTAATTTAATATATTATAACTTTATAGTATATAATATAATATATTTTAATATATTATGTTAGTAATGTAGTATTAATAGTATAACTTAGGTACTAATATAATATAATCTATCGTAATTTAATTTTAATTTAATATATTATAACTTTATAGTATATAATATATTAGATATTTTAATATATTATGTTAATAATGTAGTATTACTTAGTATAACTTAGGTACTAATATAACGTAATCTAGTTTAATATAATTTTAATTTAATATATTATAACTTTATAGTATATAATATAATATATTTAATATGTTATGTTAATAATGTAGTATTAATTAGTATAACTGAGGTAGTAATATAATATAATTTAGGGTAAATGGCAAATAGGCCCATGACAAGGCCACTTAATTAAAAGAAAGACATCCAACTTTTTTGTCTTTCAAATAAATCCAACTCATTCAAATTTATTTGCAAATAAGGAAAATTCTTCTATATATAACAAAATTACCCTCAATTCATTGAAACCCAATTCAACTCCAATTTCATGATTTTCCACCCCAATTTAGCCCAATTTCACAGAATAATCAATTTTAACCCTACTTTCAATTTTGACCCGCCACTACCGGAGACCGTCGGTCAGCCGTCGGAGACAGCCGGTCTCCGGCGTTGACTCTTTTTTTTTTTGAATTTTTCTGAATTTTTTTTCTGGTAGGTCAACCGGCGTTGAATTTTTTTATTTTTTTTTATTTTTTTTAATAATTTTGTTTTTTCTTAATAAAATATTTTAATTAATATTACTGTCTCGGCTGCTAAATTACTGTCTCCAGCAGTTATTTAACCGTCAGAGACAGTAACTTAACTGTTATTTGACTTTTTCTTTTCTTAAATTTTTTTTAATTAATATTACTGTCTTGACTGCTAAATTACTATCTACAGCAATTATTTAACTGTCGGAGACAGTAATTTAATTGTTAATTGACTTTTTTTTTTCTTAAAAAAATATTTTAATAATATTACTGTCTTGGCTGCTAAATTACAGTCTCCAGCAATTATTTAACTGTCGGAGGCAGTAATTTAATTGTTAATTGACTTTTTTTCTTTCTGAAATTTTGTTTTTTCTTGAAAAAAATTATTTTAATTAATATTATTGTCTTGGCTGTTAAATTACTACTGTCTCCAACAGTAATTTAACTGTCTAAGACAATAATATTACTGTATTAATTAATTTTATCGTTTTAGCCTGCATTTTTATCGTCTTCGACTGTAATATTATTGTCTCCGACCGTAATATTACTGTCTTATGCAATAATATTACTATTTGCACAGTAATATAAGTAATATTACTGTTCTAAAAATTAATATTCATAATATTACTGTCACAGACAGTAATATTACTGTATGAGATAGTAATTTAGCTGCCAAAACAGTAATATTAATTAAAAAAAAAATTCAAAAAAATTCAAAATTTCAAAAAAAAAAAATCGAAAAAAAAGTCAACGCCGGAATCTGGCCAGAAAAAAAAATTATTTTCTCAATGTGGGGGTTAATGTGATATATTTGTTTAAATCCGGGGTCAATGTGTAATATTAAGAAAGTTAGAGCATAATTGATGGAATTGACAAAAAAATATATTATGGAGGGTATTTTTAACTAAAGACATGGGGATGAGTTTATTTGAAAGAATGTTTATTTTATGGACCAATGCGCATTTAAGTCCCTTTTGATGGGCCTTTTTGCCATTCGCCCTATAATTTAATATAATCTCGTTTATTTATAGTGCTGGATTTATGAGTACTTATGCCCTTTGCGAGCACCTATTAATTCGAATTATAGGGAGATGCAGCTTCGTTTCCTAAAATGGAAACCACGCAAGGGCATTTCGGACTTGTTCTCGATCCGAAAGATGCTCGAGATATGCAGGTCGATCAGGTATGTATTTTAATTGTTGAATTTATTTATTTATTGTTCCGTTGATGTATTTTGCATTTATTACACAAATCTAATTGTACTAGATTGACTGGATGTCTTACGGTCCGCACGCGCATAGACGCGTTCCGCGTACACTATATTACGGATGTATACAGTTTATGGAGACTATCGAGCCATATTTGCCGGATCGCCTCCTACGGCA